GGTCCATTGAGTGCGATGACAGGCCCTTCCTCTTAAAGGAGAATGCCAGCTACTTTCAAAGGAACAGGGCACTAATTTTTTGGTCTTTTCTCTATTTGCATCCTCATGGCAACAGAGAACACACAGATCGTTCTGCTTTCAGCGCTGCCATTGAAGATTCGCAGAGCTGCCGGGTGGTCAGTTTTTGAAGACAGCCTTTAGGTTTTGTGTTCTTTTTCCTTCTTGGCCCAGCATGACTAGTTAAATGCAGGAAATGAAGATCACATTGTCCCAGTGCTCACTGACTAAATCCCGTTAGATCGACAACCTCTAAGCACTGATTATTTTTTAAAAGTTGTCTTCATTGGCATAAAAATGCATCAAAAGGTGTTTATTTAAAGTTCATCTCAGGGTGGAGCTGGGTTGTGCAACAGCCAGGATAGTAGTTATGAAACAGTCACATTATCCATCATGGAGGAGATGCTGAATTCTACACAGGAAGTGTTCCGGTTTTCATGTTTCTGCGTATTGGGCGTGGGTGGGGTGGTGCCTCCTGTGTATGCCCCAACTGGGGATGGATATGTGCCCTGACAGGGAATCAAACTCCCAACATTTTGGTGCATGGGAGAACGCTCCAGCCTACTGAGAGTTTCAAGCAGAGGCTAGAGGAGTGAAAGGGCATACAATGAGTGAGAAAAAAATCAGTTTAATTAGGAAAATTACCAGTGAGGCAGGAACTATTTGTTGTCATTCTCCTTCTTGCTGATCAAACCCAACTCCAGTCAGGTATTGGCAGCTATATGTTTCAGAGAACATGAGGCTCCTCTCCAGCCCAAGTGGGTTGTCCTTAAGAGTCTAAGCCAGGGGTGGGGAACCTTTTTTACTGCGAAGGGCCATTTGGATATTTATAACATCACTAGAGGCCCGCTGCACAAAAATTTGTGCACCCGGGGGGGAGGGGGGTCCCTCAGCCTGGCCTGTGCCCTCTCTCTCAGTCTGGGACCCCTCGGGAGATAATGACCTGCTGGCTTAGGCCTGCTCCCGGGTGGCAGAGGGCAGGCCCAATCCCTAGGTGCAGCCCCTGGTTGGGCTCAGAGCAGGGCCGATTGGGGAGTTGGGGCGCCGCCCCCTGTCATGCACAGAGCAGGGCGGATTGGGAGGTTGCGATGCCACCCTCAGTCATGCTCAGGGTAGGTCCGATTGGGGGGTTGGGGCACCGCCCCCTGTCACCCACAGAGCAGGGCCAATCAGGGGGTTGGGGCGCTGCCCCCTGTCACTCACAGAGTAAGGCCCATCAAGGGGGTTGGGGCTCCGTACCCTGTCACGCACAGAGCAGGGCCCATCAGGGGGTTGAGGAGCTCCCCCCTGTCACTCACAGAGTAGGGCCGATAGGGGAGTTGGGGCACCACCCCCTGTCACATACAGAGCAGGGCGGATCAGGGGGTTGGGGTGCCGCACCGTGTCACACTCAGGGCAGGGCCGATGGGGAGGTTATGGCTCTACCCCGTCACACACAGAGTAGGGCCCGTGTGTGTGGGGGGGGTTGGGGCGCCGCACCCTGTCACACACAGAGCAGGGCCGATCAGGGGGTTGGGGCGCCACAGCCTGTCACACACAGAGCCGCAGGGCAATCAGGGGGTTGGGGAGCTCCCCCCTCTCAGGCACAGAGCAGGGCTGATCAGGGGGTTGGGGCGCCTTCCCCTGTCCTGAACAGAACAGGGCAGATAGGGAGGTTGTGGCCCCACCCTCTGTCACACACAGAGCCGCAGGGCGATCAGGGGGTTTGGGCACTGCCCCCTGTCATGCTGATCCCGGTGCTGGGAGGCATATTACCCTTTTACTATATAGGATAGAGGCCTGGTGCACGGGTGGGGGCCGGCTGGTTTGCCCTGAAGCGTGTCCTGGATCAGGGTGGGGGTCCTCACTGGGGTGCCTGGCCAGCTTGGATGAGGGGATGATGGCTGTTTGCAGCTGGTCACACACCCTTCAGGGTGGGGGTCCCCACTGGGGTGCCTGGCCAGTCTGGGTGAGGGGCTGATGGCTGTTTTCAGGCTGGCAGGTGACTGAAGCTCCCAACTGCTCCTTTTTTTTTTATTTTTTATTTATTTTTTTATTCTGGGCCAGCTTTAGCTCTGGCTCCAGCTCTGAGGCCTCTGCTGCTGAAAGCAGGTATCTGGTTTGTTTGTGTTCTATAATCGAAAAACTGTATCAACTCCAGCTCTGAGATCCCGGCGGGCTGAAAGCAGGTTTCTGGGGTTTTGTTTAGCTTCTATATTTGTAACAGTGTTTCAAACTGCAAGCTCAGAGGCCGCAGCGGCAGGCGGGGAACGTTGGCTTCCTCCGTCATTGAAGCAAGCAAGCCTCATGTTAACTTCAAGCTGCCTGGCTGCCGGCCACCATCTTGGCTGACAGTTAATTTGCATATCTCCCTGATTAGCCAATGGGAAGGGTAGCGGATGTATGGCTAATTACCATGTTTCTCTTTTATTAGATAGGATTTGAGGGCCATACAAAATTATCAACTTAAAAATTAACCTGCTGTTTTTGATCAAACATTTAATTAAGTCACTCCTAATGCCTTGGCAGGACCAGACCAAATGATTTCATGGGCCTTATTTCACGTTACCACCCTGGTCTAAGTCAATCACTGTATATTACTTCCCCTCATGGGTGGCTGCTTTGGCACAGGCTGTGTCCCCCAAAAAGACATGTTGAAGTCTTAACTCCTGGTACAGGGAATGTGACCTTCTCTGGAAACAAGGCCTTTGCAGTAATCAAGTTAAGATAAGGTCATTAAGGTAGACCTTAATCCAGTATGACTAGTAGCCTTATAAGAAGAGAATGCCACCCTGGCCAGGTTAGAGCATCATCTTGATACACTAATGTTTCAGGTTTTAGCCCCAGTGAGGGCACATATAAGAAGCAAACAATGAATGTATACGTAATTGGAACAACAAATTGATGGTTCTCTCTCTCAAAAAATCAATCAATAAAAAACATTAAAAAAGAGAAGGCATGCCGTGTGAAATGCAGACACACACAGCGAGAATACCATATGGCATGGAGGCAGAGACTGGAGTGATACACCTACAAGCCAAGGGACATCAGGACTGATGGCAACACCAGAAGCTGGGAAAAAGGCACGGAACAGTTCCTGCCCTAGAGCCTTCAGACCTTGATTTTTGCCTCTAACCTCCAGAACTGTGAGACAATAAATGTCTGTTGTTTTAAGCTGCCCAGTATGAGGTGCTTTGTTATGGCAGCCCCAGGACACTAATGGAACTGGTTAATGAAATTGAGGGAAAGCAGCTAGGGACTTCTGGGAATGGGTTTTCTAGCTCTGAGGCTTATTTGACCTTAACAGGCAAATTAAGAAAAAAAAAAAAAGGTAATGAACATGGGTTACCTAGAATGACCAACTCATCTATTATTTTCCCTAGGGGAAAACACAATGCTTTAAATACTAGCTAAGCTACATGGAACTATGTCTCCATGTAGCTCATAAAAATTAATGTCAAGAGTTTGCAACAGGGCAGGAAGCAGAAAGCCGGTGGGACCGTCAGTACCTTTATAATGAAATGTGGTAGGAGCTTGCCTGTCTGGTCCCTGGTTTCCATGAGAACTTTTGGATGATTCCATCTTTGATACTTGGGAACATTTTCCTGTAATAATCTGGGTGTGGTGTTAACTCAGTCTAAGGTCATTGGTTCCTTAAGGCTGGCCTGCATTTTTTTGGTTATTTTTCTACTAGAGAAGGAATTGTGCAGTGTTCTGCTAGGTATCATAAGTCTATATATACACCAGAGGCCCGGTGCATGAATTCGTGCACAGGTGTGGTCCCTTGGCCTGGCTGGTGATCGGGCTGATCAGAGCTGTCTCACCCAGTCCTGATCAGGGCTGATTTGGGCCAGCTGGTCTGGAGGAGGGATGCCCGAGAGAGGTTGGCTGTGGGAGTGCACTGACCACCAGGGGGCAGCTCCTGTGTTGAGCGTCTGCCCCCTAGTGGTCAGCGCACGTCATAGCGACTGGTCGTGGTCATAATGGTCACTTAGGCTTTTATATATATAGATATATATTCTTTATGATGAAGGTTATTCATTCACCCAGCAGACATTTGGGTCCTTTTCGTGGGTGCAGCAAGTTCTGTGCACATGCATGCAATAATGGGTAAAACAGGATCCCTATCTGAGTGGGGGGAACAGACTACAAATAAACGTATATAAAAACTTGCTTCAAGCCGAAACCGGTTTGGCTCAGTGGATAGAGCGTCGGCCTGCGGACTGAAAGGTCCTAGGTTCGATTCCAGTCAAGGGCATGTACCTGGGTTGCGGGCACATCCCCAGTAGGAGATGTGCAGGAGGCGGCTGATCGATGTTTCTCTCTCATCGATGTTTCTAACTATCTCTCTCCCTTCCTCTCTGTAAAAAATCAATAAAATATATATATATTTTTAATTTATTGCTTAAAGTATTACAAAGGGTATTACATATGTGTCCATTTTATCCCCCCGCCCTAGACAGTCCCCTAGCCGCCCCTATCCCCCAGTGTCTTATGTCCATTGGTTATGCTTATATGCATGCATACAAGTCCTTTAGTTGATCTCTTACCCCCCTACCTCCTGCCCCCCAACCCTCCCCGGCCTTCCCGCTGCAGTTTGACAATCTGTTTGAGGCAGCTCTGCCTCTGTATCTATAAAATATATTTAAAAAAACCAAAACAACTTGCTTCAAGTGTTGTGAACGAAAGCAATAGATTGTTGAGATAGAGAGTAAGGTGCGGGGAGGGGACAAGTTCTCTGAGAAGGTGACATTGGAGCCAGGCCACGGAAACCAGGTCACATTCACTGTTAAGTTAGCTAAAAATAGCCCCCAATCTCCAGAGCCGGAAGCTGCAGTTGTGGTCCAGGAGGCCTCGCCGCCAGCACTAGAGATGGCGGGTGGGCGTGGCCTGTCGTGACGTATGCGTGCCCGCGCCGTGATTGGCTGGCGTCACGTGGGCGGTACCGACCGTCTGGGCTCCCGCGGCGGCGCTGCGGCGGCTCCCGGGAGCGGGAGGCTCGGGGCGAGCGCGGCGCGAGGAGGGCGGCGGGTCCTCCGGGGGCTCTCGCGTGGCCGAGCGGCGCGCTGCCGGGCATGGCGGGCTCCCTGCCTCCCTGCGTGGTGGACTGCGGCACCGGGTAAGAGCCGCCGGCGCTGAGCACCTGCCCCGCGTCCGCCCGCTCTCACCTGCGCCGGGTCCTGGGTCCCGCCCACCCCCGTGCCGGTGGCAGCGGCGGCTCGCCCCGCACGCTCCCCGGGCCGGGAAGCGCCACGCGCGGAGCCCGCTCACCGTGGCGGGGAGGGCTGCGGGGCTGAAGCCGGCCCGGCTCGCTCGCCGCCCCCTCTCCGCCCGGCGGGCCTCCCCGGCCGGACAGCTTCCAGGCGGTGGCTGCAGGCCCGCCGGCGTCCTGGCTTTCTACCCACCTAACGGTGCCCCGACCTCCCGGCCCTTAAACCCGGCCCTCTTTGGGCCCTGGTGCAACCATTGCGCCTGCGGGATCTTCGCCGCTCACCCTGGCGGTGGTTACATCCATCCACCCATCAACCACCCATCACCGGGCACCTGATCTGCTCTCCCCAGTATCCAGTGGCTCACTAGGCTACTAAGCTCTTGCTGTAGTTTGCGTAGACTTGCCTCTTCGCTTAAAAAATGAAAAAGGCCCGATTTTGAAAAATAGAAAGTCTAGATTTGGGAAAGCCAGGTTGTGGTATAGGTCTTTTTTCTTTTTCCTCCTCTATTTTTGGGTGGGATTGCTTCTTTTCATGTCGTTAAGGTATGCAAGAGCCTTCTGGGACATTTCCGGAGCTCGCTCTCGGTGGCCCAAGCGTCCTGATGTTACGAAGGTGCTGCTGAATACGGCCAGCTGGTGGTTTAGGAATTCCAGGTTGCTTGCTTGCTTTATAGATGAAGTACTTATTAAAATGACCTGGGAGGAAATGTAGCCTCTTAAAGTATTTCAAGACAGGATTCTAATAATTTTTTTTTGTCATGAAATAGCCCATGGCATGTTTACCTTTGCCTTGATTTCTTTTCTGTACAAAAACAGGTTTAGTTTCCATGACAACCCTGTGGGGGTGTCTTTAATTTGCTGCAGTCCATCTACTGATCTCTTTTTTCCCTCTGCTAAAGGCACCAGCCATCTGGGAAAAAACTGCCTTTTTTCCTGTACTTATTCTTTTTTTTTTAATAATATATTTTTACTGATTTCAGAGAGGAATGGAGAGGGAGAGAGAGATAGAAGCATCAGAGAGAGAGAATCATTGATTGGCTGCCTGCCGCATCCCTCCTACTGGGGATGGAGCTCGCAACCCAGGCATGTGCCCTTGACCAGAATCGAACCTGTGACCCTTCAGTCTGCAGGCCAATGCTCTATGCACTGAGCCAAACTGGCTAGGGCTGTACTAATTATTTTTGACATACACGTTATACCAGAAGTATTGTGGCCCTTTATGTTAGAGGTCATTTTGCTGCCAAAACACAGGCCAAAGTCAATATTGGTATTAACACCCCCTCAACTGTCAGCTCCCTGAGGCATCTGCTCCCCTCACAAACATTCCCTCCTCCCACAACCCAGTGTTCACCCATGCCCACCTGAGGTCTGGTGGTATCAAGAGGGAAGGCAGCAGGTAAAAATATTTTTCATTTCCACATTTGCATGTGCGATTTTTGCTTTTGTATTTCTAGTCTTGTTGAAATCCAGAGCATTTCTTGGCAATACAAATAATGCTCACAGGGCTTGCCACCTTTACTATTAGTAAACTGGGGACTGTACTCATCATTCTTGCTCGAAATACCTGCAATGTGTGTACAGTGTTGACCTTCTGAGGTTAAGTGATCAGTGGAACTTGGCCCCTTTGGAGCTATAACTTCAGGATATTATTATTTTATGGCCCCAAGTCATGTCATTGTCTTCAGACTGTCATAGGCTTTGGCCTCGAGACTTAGAAACAGTGGCAGGGAATCTTCCCAGTGGGTCTCACGTAGTCAGTCGTGGAAGTGACTGGTCACTATAAATGCCCAGTGGCCAGGGTCTGGCCAGAAGGAGCAGCCCGTAAGAGCCTACATTTACTTAAACCATATTAGTAGTTCTTATATTTCCAGAGAGCTAAAATGGTTTTTGGATTGCTTTTTACTTCGAAATAGTATAAGAAGGGGTAAATGCAGATGAAAGTAAACCAGGACCAAGGAAAAGAATGGGCCGGGTGCCCGGCCAGTGTGGCTCAGTGGTATAGTATCGACCTAAGACCCAGGAGGTCACGGTTCGATTCCCAGTCAGGCCAGATGCCCAGGTTTCAGGCTCCATCCCCAGTAGGGGGTGTGCAGGAAGCAGCCGGTAATTCTCTCATCATTGATATTTCTATCCTTTCCTCTCTGAAATCAATAAAAAAATATTTTTAAAAATTAAGAAAAGAATGGGCCTCTTGAGTCACCGTAAGGTGTAGGCCTGTGGCTGTTGTAGTCAAGCCTCACTTTCCTGTCTGACATAATGGTAAGAGTCATTGTTATTACGTAATTCCTGTCATCAGGAAGGAAGAGAAATACCTGCTTCTCAGGTGAAAGCTTTTTCTAGTGCTAAATTCTATTTTTTTAAAAATATATTTTATTGATTTTTTACAGAGAGGAAGGGAGAGGGATAGAGAGTTAGAAACAACAATGAGAGCGAAACATCGATCAGCTGCCTCCTGCGCACTCCCCACTGGGATGTGCCCACAACCAAGGTACATGCCCTTGACCGGAATCAAACCCAGGACCCTTGAGTCTGCAGGCTGACGCTCTATCCACTGAGCCAAACCAGTTAGGGCTAGTGCTAAATTCTAAAAGAAGAATTCACATTGACTTATACATGGTGGACACCAATGATTTAGTGGGCAGTGTACTATATAATATTTTCTTTATATAGTATTTTTATAGCAAATAAATTTCACACTGGTAGCCTAGAATCTTCTAATAAACCCTGAGACAAACCTGCTGAGCACAAGTGTACTGGGGGCCAGGAATAGTATGGACCAGGGGTCTGCTCCATCTAAAGGTAAAGCGTCGTTTAGCAGGGATGGGGAACTTTGTTTTCTGCCAAGGGCTATTTGGGTATTTATCCTATCACTCACAGGGCATACAAAAATTATCAGCTTAAAAATTAGCCTGCTTTATGTGGTCAGACAATTAACTCACCCTAATGCCTTGGCAGGGCCAGACCAAATGATTTTGAGGGCCTTATATGGCCCGACATTCCCACCCCTGATTTAAAGGAATTACTAGGAGGCAAAGTTTTCAGAGAATATCCACAAATACTAGTCTCACTTCTCATAACCAGACTTTTTTAATGAAGATTTTTGTATTTTTTAAACCTATTTTGAAAAAATTTCTGATCTAATGAAAAACTGCAAAAAGTATATAAAAAAACTGCCTGTTCTTCATCCAATTGTACCAACTATTAACAGTTGCTTTTCATTCTCTGTATTTCTATCTATATTATTATTTTTCTGAACTATTGAGTGTAAAGTACAGATAACCCAGTGGTTTTATACCAAAATGCTTCAAGGTATACTTTCTGAGAACAAGGAACTTATATTAGCATAGACTAATGGCCAGAATCAGAAAGTTTAACATTATCTACTTGTTATCTAATAGGCAGTCTGGGTTCAACGGGCATGACTCCATGTCTGTCTCATGGATCCTCACCTCTCCTTCGTCTAGCATCATACATTCTGTTCGGTTATCATCTTGACTTTTTAGTCTCTTGTCGTTTTAGTCTGGTTTAACTGGACCAGTTGCTTAGCCTTTTTCTGTCTTTCAAGACATTGACACTTTTGGGGCCCAGTTCTTAGTGTATCCCATCAGAAGGCTTTTCCTCCCCTCAGTTCTATTGCGATGTAATTGACACAAAACGTGTAAGTTTAAGGTGTACAATATGTTGATTTGATATTGTAAATATATTTGCAAAGTGGTTATCACCATAGTGTTAGCTAACACCTCCATCATGACACATAATTACCATTTGTTTTCTGTGATGAGAGCATTTAAGATCTACTTTCTTAGCAACTTTCAAGTATATAAGACAGTGTCGTTAACTACAATCACTGTGCTGTCCATTAGATTTCCAGAACTCATTGGTCTAATCAGAAGGCCTAAGATAGTGATTTGCCTTGTTCTTGATAGGTTCACTTGGATTATTTGGATACGGTGATGTCCACTGGATTTCTTCACTGTCTGGTTGCTATTTCCCCTTTGTTGTTAATGTCATTCATGGAGAGATACCTTGGTTCTTCCTTAAACTTTCACCCACTGTTTCAATATCCATTGGTGATTCTTGCCCTAAGTCAGTGGTTCTCAACCTTCCTAATGCCGCAACCCTTTAATACAGTTCCTCATGTTGTGGTGACCCCCAACCATAAAATTATTTTTGTTGCTACTTCATAACTGTAATTTTGCTACTGTTATGAATCGTAATGTAAATATCTGATATGCAGGATGTATTTTCATGGTTACAAATTGAACATAATTAAAGCATAGTGATTAATCACAAAACAATATGTAATTATATATGTGTTTTTCGATGGTCTTAGGCGACCCCTGTGAAAGGGTCGTTTGACCCCCAAAGGGGTCGCGACCCACAGGTTGAGAACCGCTGTCCTAAGTGATTATTACAGTGATGATTGCAAAATTGTGATTAAAAACACACACACACACAAAACTCTAGTATTACCTACATTTGTTAACCTTTTACTATAAGGAAGCACTTCATAGCCCCCATTTTCTATTATTTTTAAAAATGATTTTATTGATTATTAGAGAGAGGAAGGGAGAGGAATAGAGCGATAGAAACATCACTGAAAGAATCATTGATCAGCTGCTTCCGGCACGCACCGCTATTGGGGATCCAGTCCGCAATCTGAGCATGTGCCCTGACCGGGAGTCACACTGGTGATCTCTTGGTTCCTGGGTCGATGCTCAATTGCTGAGCCACACTGTCCGGGCACCCCCATTTATTAATTTATCATCTGCATGGCTTATTATTTTATTCATAAGGTTATAATCCATTATGTAATTCTTATATATTCAATGGATTATTATCTGTTGTTGCCATTATTTTTTGATGCTTAAATTGTTTCAGATTTGGCCAACAGAGACCCATTCAAC